ACCCCAGCTGTCCTGTGATCTCATTCAATAAGTGAGAGAATTTATTGCATAACTGTGTTCACCAGCCCTCCTTTTTATGATAAAATGTAACAAAACAGATTTTTTTTGTGTGTTGCAAAACAAGTACAGTAGATACAACAATGAGTTCTCACTTGTGCACAGGTGCAACAGCGGGCAGAGACACGGGTGTGCCAATTCAAGCTAAGTGTTAAAAGGCATGCATTTCATTTGTGAACAAGTAAGGATACTGCAATAAGGTCCCGGCATGGGGGAGAAACCAGGTGGAAATAGTTTCACTGTTTCACCATGGGGATATAGAGACACTGATCCACTCGAAAATCCTGTTTATGGAACCATTAGTTCTGAAAATTTATTTTCTGGAACTGTGACTTTCCAGAGCTTCCTCTAAGATGATTTGTTTGTTTGTTTGTGTTCAAAGTAATTCCTGCACCTATCTGAAAAAAAAAAATTATATATAATTTCATTGAATGTAAATTACTACCACTTTTTAAGTCAACCAGAGAGGCTCTGGAGCACATATCTCCTAACAGCTGGTCTGTCCATTTATGTCCAGGCTGATACAGGCATTGGAATGTCATGGTCCCTGTATTTCCCTATGCCTAGATGAAGCAGGTGAGAAGTCAAAATTCGGTTTTCCAAGAATTGGCCCAATACCCACAAGTGAATAGCACCAGCAAAAGAAACAGTCTCTTAGGGAAAAAAAGTTGTCTTCCTTCCTCTATGGATATAGCTTATTTGTTCAAATGGAGCTGAACAAGTAAATAAGTAAGGAGAATCTCACTAAATTGAGTAGCTAATACAAAAAATACATGAAGCATCACAAGTAGCCCAACTTTGTTCAGGTTTCATCCAAACTGAGAGCTAGAGGACCTGTGATAGAACAAGTTCAATTTTACTATCACTTACTAAAATTCCAGTCTGACAAGTTATATTTGACTATATGTACTAACGTAACTGAGTTAAAATTTGAGAGAGACTTTACCTACTTGGTCTCCTACCACATCTCATTTTTGATCCCATGTGCTGTTAGTATACTCCACAGAGGCATGTATCTTTAACCTGAAAGTGTATTATTTTTTCAAAGTCTTCACTAACTAGCAATTCACGAGTTAAAAACTTAGTAAGTCTTGTCTGGACAATCCAGAAAAAAAAGATCAAGCAATTAAAAACCTGAGCTACATTCTGTTTGCTTCTTCTGTGCATACATGCAACTTTTCAACAAACCCTTCTTTTTAGAGACTCACCATGGGAAAATTTGAAAATAAATATATTTGCAAAATGCTAGAGCAGAAGTACAAGCCTTAGCTAAGATGCACAACTAAAAGAGTACACAGATCCCTCAAATACTGTTAAATACTGTGCCATTTTCAGGACTGAAGGTAGTACAGGTGGGTGGCACAGTGGCACTGAACCTAATACTGCTTCTGAGAGCTCAGTTAGTATCCCTCCAGAGTACTGCACTGTGCCAGGGAGATAAACCATTTCCATTAAAATGCCTTCAGTTTTAGTAATATTACACTGAATTGAATAGTTGAGACATATCCAAAGAGTTTAAAATAGATTGTAGAGAGCAATGGGATCTCATAAGGGACAGGCAGTGGGTCACAACAAATTGCAGGTTTCTCATCTCAATCATAATTAATTGAAGAAAGGATAAATTTTCAGAAAAGTAAGTGAAAGGTTGGGGGAAAATAGAAATTCCCAGCCATGTCTTGGGATACCATGTATTTTTATATAAGAAGGGAATAATTAGGGCCAGGTTAAGAGAGAACTAGAAAGAAAATGAAAAAAACAAGTTTTGAGTCCGCTCTGAGGAATCTCTTAACATCCATGATCCACCCTTTGTGTATGAGATTGTTCCTATCTCACGCTTCCCAGCTGTGGTACTTTCACCCTGTAGGTTGTCAGTGCAGCATCACAGCCTCCTTCCTCTTCAGGAACCCCATGAAGCACGTGTGGCTGACAGGGGTCCCCACAAGATGCACTTGGTCTGTGAGGAGAGGGCACTGCGCTGTGCTAAACCCCATATTCATACAAGCATCTTCAAAATCTGTCATGTGCTAAAGCCTGTATATATGCCCTGCCATCACATGAGCTGGCACATAATCCTAGAAGGAAAAGGCCAAAGAGATAGAATGATCCCCACCTCTGCCTTCAAACTTCAGAATTCTCTTTTTCCCCTCTCTGCCACCACCTGTCCTCACCAGACTGGTGGGAGGAAAGAATCTTTGGGTTTTTTTGCTGCTAGTTCACAGAATCAATTAGGTTGGAAAAGACCTCTGAGATCATTGAGTCCAACCTATGACTGAACACCAGGATGTTGACTAGACCATGGCACTAAGTGCCATGTACAGTCTTTCCTTAAACACCTTCACAGATGGTCTGATTTTACCAGACATCTCCATCACCTCCCTGGACAGTCCATTCCAATGTCTAATCACCCCTTCTGTTAAGAAATTCTTCCTAATGTCCAATCTAAACCTTTCCTGGTTACAGCTTAAGACTATGTCCTCTTGTCCTGGTTACACAGAAACACAGTGTCTCGCCTCACGGCTAGTAAACCATTACATGTACAACTTTTCAGGAAAGATAAGGTTATAAATTAAAATAAAAATAAGGGTTGAAAGGTCAGACTTCCCTGGCAGTTTCATCCAAGCTGCCAAAGCCTGCCTAGTGCAAAACTGGCTGCTGAAGAGTTTCCCATTCTGCCTTTCACTGGCACTTTCCTGTGCTGGATCTGCTGGACATGAAATGGGAAAGGAATGACAGCTGTTTTGGACATTTATATTATCCCTGGCTTAGATCTGTTCAAAATCTATTCATTTGGCTAGAAAAATGCAAAGAGGCCCTGGCAGCCAACAGAAAATTAATTATTTTGCATACATTGTGTAACACTATTCATTAGTTTTACATGAGTGGTGAGAGGTCAGTCAGGAATAGAATCCCATTGTGCTAACCTTCAAAGAGCTTGCCATGTAATTGAATGGAATAAAGGAATTAAATATGCAGGCAGAATTAACACTAGCAGTTAGCAAACAGCACACTGCAAATATCTACAACTTCTTTGTCTAAATTCTGGAGTTAGGATCTTGGGGGAAGGTGATCAGATAAGCAACAAAAACAAAAACAAAGAAGAATACTGAGGGGATGTGGATTAAAAACATGCAGAAAGGAGAAGCATAGTGGTATCTGAATGCTATAGTGTATCCAACTTCTCGTGTATTAGCACACAGACTTACAACATATATTATGCACCAGTCTACATGTGCCTTTCTGCTGTTGTTTTCTGTATAGAAAGCATTCCATATATAGGGCCACATAAGAGACATTTTAGAAAATGTGGTAAAGTTCTGACCATATATATCACACAGCTCGCTTTTGTTCTGCAAAACGATGAGAACACTGGGAGTCAGTATGGTATGATTTAAATTTGAAAATAGCTCCCCAGAATCTGAGTTAACTAGCAGGAGAACATCACCATTCAGTGTTCTGGGTCCATCTGTTGGCAATATCATGATGGAAACAGCTTTTTAAATGCTATTTTCAATAAGCTATCACACAACAGCTTGTTCCAACAATATTCCAATACCTTTCTGTTTGTTTGCTATAAAAAACAGCTCAGAGGGAAGGAGGCATTTCAGTACTAAACTGATGTAGGGTGGGAGGGACAGAGACACTACAGGAACAAGCAAAGTGAGAAACAACTATAAAAAGAAAAAAGGAGAAGAAACTGTTATTTTAGACCTCCCGCGATCTAGATTTAAACCAGAATGTGGAACCCAAACTACAGTAGTGTCAAGAGAGGGACGGTCTGCACCTGCCAGTCACTACAATTATCGTGCAGTGACAGTGTCAGCCATAGGAAACTCAAGGGCTCCTAGACACAAATGGCTAGTACACCTAGTGATTGATTACCTTCAACTCTGCAAGACTTGCTGAACTCTGTGCTCCAATGAGTACTGAAAGGAAGATTCACCTCCAACATTGTAACAGTTGTGTGGTACCAAACCAATCTGTCCTATATAATTCTTCTGAAAATATCATGTATCCGTCAGCTTACTTCTCAAGTAAAACAAATGCCAGTGACATGCTGATGATACATCACTAGCATCAGAGTGGCTCAGTTGCAGCTCAGCAATAAAGAAGAGATGGCTGCATTTGAACCCAGTAATTGGTAGAAGAGGAATAGAAGTTCTTTTGGTTCACACCAAAAAGTTTTGCAATTATTCAATTAATCATGCAGTTGTCACAGCTAGCTTTGGCACACCTAATGTCACAGCTTTTTAAACAAGGAACTAGATCATCCCAAGGTTTCTTCTGACCTATGTTATCCCATGATCCTGTGGTTCTAAAATGAACTGCTCTGTGCTAATTACCTCTATACCATCAAATCAAGGTCTACAATGTATTTCTTGTAAAGTTTTTATTTTTAAAGGCTGCAGTCCTTCAAGAATCATAAGGAGTACTCAGGTTTCCAACAAATTATGCATCTTGTTTCCCAAACAGTATTAGAAATATGGATAGTTGGGAAGGATGAAAGTTGAGAAAAAATACTATATGGGAAGGTAAACTAAAGAAGTTATGAAACATTGTAAGTTCATGTAAATGGAGATGTAGAAAGAGGAAAGTAAACCCAAAAAGCCATATGGAATTAATAGTGATAAGATCAGAACATATACTGGAAAGAAAACTAATAGTATGTAAAATTACAAAATATTGCATAAGGACTTCATAATTAGTGCTACAAGAAAAATGTACTGCTAGCTCTCTGTACATTCAGGCTCATTCATAAAATATTTTATCTTCTCCTGCTATCAAGATTGCTTCTTAAATACAAAACATATTTTGTGTTCTGTTTATCTGTCTTTGGCCTACTTGCATGTGTAAAGCAATAACACCCTCTTAGAACGCATGCATCATAGCCTGCTATTAAAACAAAAATTACAGCTAATGAGAGGATGCTTATGGTGAGCACCTACCTGAGGACGTATAACTTTCACTATGTTTTTAAGTGCAGTGTCTGGTGATGGAGGAGAGCAGTCAGGTGTTGGGCCTGTAGAGCTGTTTCTATGGTTACCAGATCCTGGTGCGGTAATTGCTACCTGAGGTGCATTATCTGTGAACAAAAATAAAATTTATGTGAACTTACAAATACTTCATACATTTTAAAATAAAAAGTAATTTTGAAAACAGAACACTGTTTCAACTTACAAAACCTATTATAATTTAAATATATTTGCTAAGGAATATATTGCATCTCTACACTTATTTTGTCAATGCATACATTCATTCTATGTTAAGGCAAGATACACCATTTTCTCAGTACCTAAACAAAATGAAGTAGAAACTAAGCACAAATATTTTACTTCCATTACCTTGCATTAGCAACTCTGAATCCAAGTACTATCACTACAACAGGGGTGACTTGAAAGGGAAATTTACTCCTACCTCATCCTGCTAAACCATAACACATACAACCCAGTCCAACATGTTATATAAACACATATTCAACTTAGAGCATGCTACTAGCCATCATCAACAGCTTTCCTGAACATTGTGATCAGTGTGACTGACCTGCAAATATTAATTACATGAAAATATACTCAGTTTCTCAATTAAAATTTGCATCCTCCATAGAGCTCTGCACTGCACTAGCTACCTTTCCAACAGTATCTCAGCTAGAGAACGTACAGCTGGCTTAAAAATGTCTACAAACATGTGCATGTACATGGAAAAGTGCTGTCTGGATATATTTTGCTCTTACCATTTTATGGTACTGTGAAGGACCATTAAAAGGACTTAAAATATCATTCTTACCTTCTCTAAATGTTCTTAGTGCTTTTTGATCAATGTAAAGTTAGTGAAAATTAGATCAGAGTATAGAGAGGACTATGAAATAGTTTCCCAGCTGTGATTGTAGCTGAGCACCAGAATGACTTAGCAGGAGGCCAAAAACTCCACATTACTTCATGCCTTTAGAATTGTATCAGTAAATAAATGCTTTAGTTCAGATTCTGGGGAAAATGCCATTGCCTGTGCATGGCTGTGGTGGTCTTTACAGTGTCTGTGAATTTATCAATTACCTTTCTTTGTCAATCACAAAGACATGTGCTCATGCTCCTAAATGTGCTGTAACAGCTGTGGCTCTGCTTTAAGACAATGATTACATTCAAATCTTATGTGCCTCAACTGACAACCTGCAGAGTTCACAGAAGAAAGGTAATTTACTTGTGATTGCGATGGTTCTCCAACATGTGCTTCCACTCTGTGGACAAATCATCTCCAGAAGAACCCAAACACCAATAAGCAAAAGCAGTTCTCTTAAGCTGGAGAATTTTTGCCTGACCAACTTCTGCAGGTACACACATAAGCTCCTCCATCTGCACAAGTCAGAAACACCTCTGTGAAAGCCGTGACAGAAGCTTCCCCCTACTACCTGAAAGAATTCTTGGAAGTGTAAAAGAGAGATCGAAGGGAAGGAAATATCCAGTTACATTAACATAAGATAAAGAGGAATAGTTTCAAGAGTGTAGACTTGATGGTCTTTCCAACTTACAGATACTTTCATAGCACGGATGATTCTAAGATACACTTCCTGCAGAAATACTGTGTAATTGGATGAGGTCTTAAAGTTTCTAATCAAATACAGACTGACAAATTACTCTTCTAAAATAACATCAGGCTGGAATGTTTCAGCAATACCATTACACTTATTGAAAGTGTAAACAAAAGTTCAGATGGCAATTCGGCAGACATCGAGAATGGAGACATCCTGTAGATAACCACAGGTGTTACCTGACATCTGACAGTCACCCTCCCTGTCGCAGAAAGACAAGTCCAACTCTTTTAAAAAGTATGTCATCGAAACTGCCAGTCCTTTAGGTATGCAGTCTTAACACACGGATCAGTTCTTCCTGAACCATTGCAAGTGCGCACAGAAATCCTGAATCTGAAGTAATTTATTTCAGAAATTAATAAATATGTGTTAATACAATGAGTCAAAACAATTTTTACACAGTCTTAGAAAGGAACTTACGGTAAATCCTCATAATAACATACCTGATGTGGAAGATTTTTGATAGCATTTCAGAAAGCCTTAAGTCCCTCTTATGCCTTCCCATCTGACCTGATCCCTAACTTTAAACCTGGTCACGTGCACCATGTAAATGAGTATTCTGTGATTTGAAAGCCCAGCTCATCAAAGGAGGGATAGGGATTTGACAAGAAGAGACCCCCTAAAGCCTTGCCATACTCTGAAAATCTCATAGTGAGGATGAAGTGTTAGTAGCACCTTAGCTAAGCTGAAAGTCTCAGCCTCTTTTGCTCCAGAATATGAAATATTATCTTCTTTCACTCTATGGAGAGACTCATCAATAGATAACCATCCATGAATCTCCTGACTTAGGAATCAGAGAGCTGCTTTAAGAGAGTCGCTTTAAGAGAGTTCTGCACTGTGCTTGGGCAAATATTAAACAAGGGACTATACTGCTGTCAAGAAATGTGGGAATACAGGCACCATCTGGAAGGTAAGAAGTACATTCTAGAGTGAGAAATGCTCCACATGAGTCTAGCTAAGTGTACTTATTGCACTTCTTTACTCACTAGTGCGAGAAACAAACAGAATTATTGTCTCTGACAAACAGCTAAATCTATAAAGAGCACAAACTCTTCTGCAAACTACTTCAGCAGTCCCTGGCCCTTTCTGTTACTATTTCCCTGGGTGAGCTTAGCACAGCTGCCCTTGAGCTATTTAGCACACGAAAGCCTTGCAAGTGAAATCAGGGAGTCTTGCAGATGCAGAAGTATCTCAAAGATGGATCACTCAAAGGACAGAGAGAAATACAGACTGGTGCTGTTGGTAACAAATACAGTTGTCTGCCCACCAGTTTATTCAATAATCACCTCAGCTCAATTTAACCACACTTTAAGAGGTTAATAGAGGGATCAAGTTATAAGAGCAAGATTTTTGTCTTTGCATAGGAAAGACTTCTTGTTGACCCTGCTCAATGGTAGCTCACTGAAGACTAGGTTTTGCCTGTAAATACAGTCCCACACAAGTGGCATCAAACTGACTGGGAATGATGTTCTTGGAAGGGAAATTTATTTGAAGTCGTTCATGAGGGGAGGAAGGGCTCCACTAGACAAGTGGAAAAGAAGAAATTCTCCAACTACAGTGTGTGAGTACAACCATAACCAATTCAGCAACGTACACAATATGCAGCAATCTCAGAAAAGAGTAGTTACAGTCTTTCCTTCCAAGCAAAATTAAGTGGCAACACAAAAAGAAAAAAAAAGGATCGTGTTTTAGAATCTAAAAATAATAAAACTTTGCAAAAAGAAGCCAAATATTTTTCTTTGAAATAAACAACCCAGAAAAAAAAAATCCAACTGCTCAGTACTTCATGCCTTCCCTCATTTCTCAACAGGATAAGTGTCTGACATGTAATGGTTCCTTGTAAACAATTTCTTTATTGTGGACAGCTGTTTATTTTCACAGTAGGATCTTCCCATTAGGCAACCAATAATGATTTATTACCTGGGTCTCCATCAGAGAGACAATATCACCATCAAATAAGTTCCTGCAACCAATTTGGAGGACTTGTCTGTTTATGTATACAGTACTCATAGTTTCATTAAAAATATATTTAAATGTATTTTCTTTTGTAATTAAATTATATAATTTAATTTTCTCTTTCTCTGGTGACAAAACTAAAGCAAGCTTCTTTTTCCCCTTTCGGTAACCATAATGGCAATACTGCAAGTTTCAGGGGAACATTTAATGGAAAAAGGAACTTAGAAACTTGAGAAACTACCAAATTTACTCAGAAAAGATTAGCTCTCCTGCTGAGTTTCTGATAGGTGCTATAGAAGGAGACAACAGGGAAGTATTTATGGCTGTCATTCTTTTCTAGTTCCTGGCTCAGGTTGGAACAAACTAGAAGATGCTTTTGTATAAGTCAGATAACACCAGGCTCCAGGGATATCTAGCAGCTAAAAATTAATGAACTGCAGCATGCTCTAACAATATTCCCTCCTGCCTCCATCACACATGAGAAACTGTCACAAGGTTTATGTAATTGGAGTTTATTCTGATTTTTAAAAATGGTTAATGAGGACTTGCCATTCTCCATTTCCTTTGTTTCAGGGCAAAGAAAACAGAATAGAACAAGGATAATACACTACATTATGTTTTCTATGTCCACAATAACCAAAATGATTTTTTAAAGGTTAGAAGAACTCAGGTTTTGGATCAACTGGACTCATGTAATGTGGACTACGAAAATTGCTATGCTGATCTACATCCTGGAAAACCTTACTAATTTCCTTTGTTTGTGGGTTGGTTGATTGATTGATTGATTGATTGATTCAGCATACAAGATTTAAAGGATAGAAAGTGTTACAATGTAATTACAATCTCATTTATTATTAACCATCTCATGGACATATGAAAGAAGATGGTGATTCTTTAAATTTCTCACAGGATTAGACAGGTTTCCACATCTTAATCTTAATTTCCAAATCTCGATGTCTCCTGACATTCTATTTGCTACTTTTCCTAATTTTTTAAATATTTACAGGAGGAGTAGACTCAATATTCACAGCAATGGTCACACTAGTGCTTCACACAACTTGTTTAAAAGCTGAAGGTCAGGTTGTTCCTACCACTTTATAACAACCTTTTACTCTCAAGCAACTCTAGCATTATTTAAATTACAGCAACACATAAACCTCTGCCTTGACTTCAGCTACACTAGAACTTCATAATATTAAATCAATGCCACCAAATCCAGAAACCCAGATTAGGCTTTTACTGGTTGTCCTGGTTTCAGCTAGGATAGAGTTAATTTTTTCTCAGTAGCTGTTAAATTGCTGTGGTTTAGATTTGGAATGAGAATGGTGTCGATAACACACTGATGTTTTGCATTTTCTCTAAGTCACGTTTGTCACATCTGTCCTAAGACCAAGATCTTTTTTCTTGTCTCATACTCTGCTAGTGAGGAGGCATGCAAAAGAAACTGGGAGGGAGCACAGCCAGGACAGGTGACCTGAACTAACCAAAGGGATATTCTACACCAAGAACATCATGCCCAGTATAGAAACTGGGGGGAGTTACCC